CACTGCGCTCAGGCTTTCCTGTAGTACCCTTCTTATGGAAAACTTTTCTCCTGCTTTTTAAAATTGTTTCTTTTCATATTCTATGTGTAGTAGGTATTAGTAGTCATGAATTTAACCTTATGGTTTCAGTCATGAAAATTCATGGATTTGCATTTGTGGCTGGTGTGCAAGAGAGCTGGTCACACAGCGAGAGAGTGAGCCTTGCTGGCCACTGACGCCTCCTTCAACACAGCTTGGTGCTTCTGTTCTTCATCCCTGTGAAATAATGAGCACTTCTTAATGGAAGCACTTCTTAGTGAGTTCATGAAGGTTGCGAGATCCGAGATCCATTCCTTGAAACTGTTGAGAGACTATTGTTTTCAGAGGCTATTTCAGAGAAACAGAGGCTACTCTGTGTCACGGATACTTACTGAAACCCTAAACGCAAGCCTGGCACTGGGATCCAAAGGTAAATTAAGATGATGGTCCCTGCATGTAGAAGCTCTCAGCCTAGTGCAGGGAACAAACATGTGAATACATGCCCTTCTGTTTGCTAAAAGGAGTGGTTGAGAGAGTGAGGGAAGGAAGAAATGGCTCTGCTCATGAAGGTAAAGAGGGCATCAGGAAAAGGAGGTGTTACTTCAACTGTATCTTAAAGGGTGGTAACACCTGACCAGACAGGGAAAGGGATTTCCCTTCTTGGTACAGGAAACCACATGTTCAGGTGAACAGAAGTGTCAACAGCAGGACAAGTAGGGGCACCACAAGTATTCCTATGGGACTGCAGCCAATATATGGGGTTAGCAGCCAGATAAGACCATGGAGGTGGGTGAGCAGCAGGGGCCAGGTGATGATGCCCGACCACTGGGTCCTGGGCACTGATCACATTGTGCCTTGCTGGTCCCCGATATATGGTCCTCAAAAAACTAAAAAGCCATAGTCACATGCATTTGGAAGAAGCCGACTTAAGGCTAAGCAGGTATTTATTTATTTATTTAATTTACTTATTTATATTTTTTACTGCAGGACTTCTGGAGCTTACAAAGTGCTAAGTGCATGAGGGCTCTCCCAAGGGGGCAATATATAGTGCAGTGTGTCCTGAACCCCTTTTGTAGGAAAGCCCTCAGAATCTCACCTGGGGAAATTCTGCTATAAGCAATGAAAGACCATGGAAGGATTCAGATTTTCATTTGGAAATGCATTCTGCGGAATGAGTGAGGGCTGGGTGGGGTGGGTGGTGAGATGAGAAATAAGGAGACCCGTGGGGAGGAGGTGCTCCATGAAACACCTGAGTGCAAGGGGGCGTGCACAGGCTCAGGGATTCAAGAGGCATTCGAGGTAGAATCAATAGACTGAACTGTCCTCGGGAGGGAGGGACCTACGTTGGTGCCAGGGTTTTGGTTCCCAGCCCTGGTCGTGTCTAATCAGATGTTGGATATAACCTCTAGCATCCAGCAGGAAGGCCTGCCCTGCTAATACATTTGGAGTTGGGTGTGACTGTATGGTGGCACTGAAGCCTCAGTGGGTGAGGTCATCAGCAGGTGGAGTCTAAGAGGGAGAACGAGACTGTGGACAGATCCAGAGGACACCCATGTTTTGGAAGTGGGCGGGGAAGAGAGGTCAGCAAGGGAGCAGGCGTCCTTGAAGCCAGGGGAGGACAGGGTTTCAAAACCAAGAGAGCCGTGTGTAGTAACCCTCCACGTGCAAGTTACAACAGCGGAGAGATGCTTTTATCTGTCAAACCAGCAGAGATTTATTTATGTATTTAACAGTTATACCTAGTGTTGGTAAGGGTTATAGAAAATAAGCACCCTCATGCTATCGGGGAAACAGATAATATGTATCAAAAACCATAAAAAGTGTATATGCTCTTTGATTCAAATATTCCATCTCTACATGCCTGTAATCCCAGCACTTTCGGAAGTTGGGGTGGGCAGATCACCTGAGCCCAGGAGTTCGAGACCAGCCTGTCCAACAGAGCAAAACCCTGTCTATACTAAAAATACAAAAATTAGCCAGGCATGGTGGCGCATGCCTGTAATCCCAGCTACTCAGGGGGCTGAGGCACAAAGACCGCTTGAACCCAGGAGGCGCAGGCTGCAGTGAGCCAAGATCATACCATTGCACTTCAGCCTGGGCAACAGAGCAAGACTCAGTATATATATAAAAAAATCCATCTCTAGAAATTCATCCTAAAGAAAATCACCATGGATGAGCACAGATTATTCTACAAGATTGTTCATAAAACATTGTATATAATATAAAAATATAAAGATATTATCCTGTAACATAAGCTTGATTAAATAAATTATGACAGCAATATGATGGAAAAATACCATGAAGTCAGTAAAAAAAAAAAGTGCAATAATTAATGGCATAGTGAAATACTGCAATATAACGTGAAGAGAATAAAGCAAGTAAGATCCTGTTTTTTGTATTAAAAATATACACATACGTTTAAGAAAAAGATACATCAAATATTACCAGTGGTTATCTCTGGAAACAGGGATTTGGGTGGTTTTAAAATTTGTTGGGGGTAATATTTTTACTTTTCTATATTTTCAAAAGTTTCTACAATAAGCAAGTTACCTTTGTAATCAGGAAAAAGCAGTTCTTTTAGTGCTCTGAATAGTGTAATAATAATTTTTATTTTATTTCATTTTATTATTTACCTGGCCTTGCAGAAATTTACCTCTTTGGTAAAAGACAAACTAAGCATGTGCTTAAGGTGCCAGCAAGTGACTATTTACATTAATAATTTATTTAATATAGAAATTTTTATTGAAGTGATGACTTCAAAATATGATTTTTGGGGGCATTATACACTTGCTTGGAGGTTTAATCCTCAATCCACATGGTGGGGGGCACCATAATCACTGGTGCCCAGGGCCCTCGAATAGCCCCTGTGAGGCCCTTTGCTGTCCCTCCTTTGCCAGCTCCTCCAGCCTCGGCCATTTGTCCCCTGGGCTCTCCAGGTGCCACTGAGCAGCCGCCCCCCTGCCCAAGCCCAGCTCCAATGCTGTGTGACCTTAATTCCCTTAACCGCTCTGTGCCTCAGTTTCCTCATTTGTTAAAAGAGGAGGTTCCAATGGTATGTACCCCCTGACCATGTGCGAGCGTCACAGAAATGACACGGAACACGCACTCAGAACATGCCTCGCGCGTGGCAAGTGCTAACTGTTACCTGCCATTATTAGGCTCCCTGGCCGGGGTCTCAGAGCCTTGGCACAAGCTCTTCCCTCTGCTTGGAGCACTTTCCTCCACCGACCTTTCCTGGCGCTCCAAGTCAACTCCAGGGGCCTTCCCAGTGTAGTCTAGGTGCCTTCCCCTTCCGCAACGCCTGAACCACACAGGAATAAGTAAGGCGAGAGCACGCCCAGGGAAGAGCAGGGTGTGCAGAAAGGGTCTGAGTTAGTCGAGGCATTTCCGCGAGGATCCTTCTCCTACCAGGCCTGCACCGGGGCCGCGGCGACTGAGAAGACGTGCACAGGTGGCTCCCGAGTGCTCGGGAAGGGCCCCAGAGCTCCTGGCCGGGTTAAGGCAGGATGCGGGTGCGCGTCTCTCCCGCGAAGCTGGATCAGTACTGCGGGCGCAGGGGGCGCAGGGCGCGCAGCGAGGGCTGGCGGGGGCGGCCCGCCTGGGGCGCTGAGCATCCAGCAGGAAGGCCTGCCCTGCTAATACATTTGGAGTTGGGTGTGACTGTATGGTGGCACTGAAGCCTCAGTGGGTGAGGTCATCAGCAGGTGGAGTCTAAGAGGGAGAACGAGACTGTGGA